CTAGATAGTTCCTGTTCTGAGTTGGTAAAGCGTTACCTTTCCTAAAGCCTTCTCATGCGAAATTTGAAAGAGTTCGCTTTGCAGCCTCTTCAACTGTATGCTGCAGTGGCCAGAGTTCAAGAATTACCTCCACTAACATTTCGAGTTCAGGATAAAACCCAGATACTTCACTTCTGTGAGGACGTTGACGGCGGCCTTATCCAAAGCTAAGTTGCTCATCACCTTGAAATTTATTTTCCTTGCGAAAAGGACGATGAAGGCGTGTATCTACCAGCACACATGTGTGAAAAGTAGAAAAAGGAACAAATTATTTAACGCTAGTAGCTTAATCATTTAATGTTGCATACTTATAGGCCCATCGGACACGCAACAGTTTTAAAATGGCTAAACACATTGATTTTTCTTATAAGGTTCAGTGACTTTATCAGATTTCGATAATTTGAAAGCAGTATAAAAAGATTGGGCAAATTGTATACCAATCGTGTGAATGCATAAATGTATTTCTTTATCGCAATCACGAAAAACAAAATTTTAAAATTTTTCAAAAGAAGTTCCTTGTATTGTACCAATGGTGTGACTACAAAAAAAACGCCCACTGAATTGACTAGATATAAAAATATTTAAACTTCCAAGCTCCCAAAAATATTGAACCCACATACACATACTCTGCTTTCGAAAATCTGCATTTAATTATTGAAAATACGCTTGACCTTCCAAATTCTCTGCCAGTATCCGTGGCCATACGCCTACAAAAGGAATAAAGGACAACAATAAACAATGAAAATACACTTATCATGCATAGCATTTATCTACATTGTGTGTGTATTATTTATTTATTGCTGTGCGTAGCATAGCATTGCGGCACATTTAAAATTAATTTATGCCCAACAACACATGTCTGCATAATTAAGAATGTCGTCCGGCCACAGAAACAGACACTAAAAAATTTGAATAAAATTTCAGCCTGGAGCTTAAATTGTAGTGCTTCAGTAAACAGACCTAAACATTTTGGCTTGCATATAAATATTTTAGTCTTTAGCAAATTCAACTTACCCCTTTGCATGCCTCTTTGGCCTCTTTGCTCAAACTCTTCGGATAGGAGACATTGTGATCGGTGATAGCAGCAAACAATTCTTCCTCATCTTCACCGTCGAAGGGCGGCTGGCCAACCAGCATCTCGTAGAGCAGCACGCCGTAGGCCCACCAATCCACGGATTTGCCATAGGGTTGATACAGGATGATCTGTTAAGTGAAGAAAGAAAGCGATGAATAGAAATTTTAAGAGAGGCCAAAAGGTGTGAGGAAAAGTATTTGAATGTAATGGATTTTGGAACGAAACTACGTTGTGCCTTGTTAAGGAAGTTCATCATGGCACACGACGTTGCCACTTGCCAATGAGCGCATGAAACAAAGGCCCCATTGCGAACGACGTTCTCAGGACGCATCATCTCACAAAACAACGAGGCCAAATAGCCACAGAGATCTTGCTATTTAACACCATTGGACTTCTTTATTTCGAAAAACATATAGTAATACCATGAGAGCTTTCCCGAAATAAAGAACATATCCATTCATCCATCCATTGGACTCTTTTCTTTGGGACTACGTGAAAAGTATAGACTAAATATGCTAATAATCTGGATACGATTCCATTAGCTCGTTTCTGTAACTTTTCTCTCTACTGGAAGAGAATATCCGTCATTCTCTACTACTCATTAGCAATAGAGAGCAACAATATATATGAACTCGCCTTGGTAGCGAATTGTTACAGGAACGAGATACACAGCTCAAGAACGAAATTATAAGCATTATAAATGATATACAGCTCCAACTATGACAAACAGTTATGTGTAGAAAATTTCTATATGCGCATCCTATGTTGCCAGAGTCGTGGTGGGCATTTAACGGACATTGCAAATAAATGCCATAGACTAAGAAAGAAGATGACATAAATAAACCGTTCGACATATTTTCTTCTGTTTTATTTAAAAAAGAGAATCTGAGGTCTTACTGAATCACCCTGCACAAAAATCAAAACCCTGTTTTCGCTAATTCCAACTCCCGCCAAAATAATTTACTGCTCGTTGACAATATCCGCCCATAAAATTCACATTCGTTATCTAAATTGTTTCAAAAATAAAATATAAATTCGACATGCCTTTTTTTATAGTAAAACTCGCTCATACTCCCACGTGTCTATCGACTTGGGCTGAACTGATTACTGTCACACGCACAAAATTGTGTTTATCTTTGAAATGAAATCGAAATTGTTGACCCATTTATGTAGCTGCGAGTCATAACAATACTCACGCAAACGCTTATAATAGACATTCGATTAATGTCACTCACCTCGGGTGCTATGTAGTCGGGTGTGCCGCAAAATGTCTTTGTTGTCTTATCGCCAATAATATTCTCCTTACACATGCCAAAGTCGGCAATTTTAACATGACCATCGGCATCCAAAAGGACATTGTCCAATTTCAAATCACGATATAAAATGCCTTTGCTGTGCAGATAGAAGAGACCGGCGGCAATTTCAGCGGCGTAAAAGCTAGAAGCAGATGAAAAAAAAAAGTATACATTTGTAGTTAAAAGGAAAATGAAATAAAGAAATTTGTAAAAAGGATACAGTAATAGTGCAAGAAAAAGTAAGTATCTCTGAGATTGGCCACTTCACAAAGGTCAGCCACTTTACAAAAGTCACTTATCAGAGGCCAGTAAAATCTACGCAGTTAGAGAGTGCTCAGTTGTGCTTATGTGTATATGTGTGTGTGTTTTGTTATTTGCTTTACCAATACTTACACAGCCACTGGCTCCTTGAATTTTCCGAATTGTTGTATTTGAAACATCAAATCGCCACCATTGACGTACTCCATAACAAAGAAGAGCCGGTCTAGTGTTTGGAAGCACGAGTGCAGCTGCACCAGGAATGGCGGCTTCTCGCCTAACGCCAGCACACGCTTCTCAATCATTGTACACTCGACATCATCGTCCTGTATGATGACATCCTTTTTGAGTATTTTAATGGCGTAGAGTTCCTCTGTGCCTTTGCGTTCGGCCAGCATGACCTGTGGGAAAAGATAAAAAATAATAGATATAAAAAATTAAAGTACAGTGTGTAAAAATAAAAAAAGCTGTATAAAAGTAAATTAAAGTGTGTACCCTACACATTTTCAATATTAAAAACTCGGAATTTTATTAAGAAATTTTATATAAGTTTTCAATAAGTGTACACATATGTACACACGTGCACGCACACACACACATACATGAAAAATACAGTGAAGTCTCGACATAACGAACATTGATAAAACGAAAAACTCAATATAATAAAATTTTTGCTGAATCCCCTGAAAAATACTCGTTGTTGCGAAATTTTCCACACAAAAATGCTTCATAGATGAAAAAAAGTACGACCATAACAAAGTGTCGACTCATAGGCCAGTATATAGTAAATTCTGAATATGTTAACGGTTAGATTCCAGTTATAAAAAAAAACAAAACTTTAAAAATTTTTGCATTTTTCGTTTCACTGAGGTTTTGATGTTCTATAAATATAACGAAACTATCGACATAACGAAGCATTTGTTCAACCCCTTTAACTTCATTATATCGGGGATTCACTGTACAAATATTATCTGTCATGTATAAAAGTGTCAACAAATGCATTTTATTATCATTTTTATTCTCCTTCTCTCTCTCTCTATTTCCCTCACCTTGCCAAATGAACCCTTGCCCAGCACTTTGATGAAATTGAAATCCGTCGCACGTATCATATCCTTTTTGGATGGTGTCTGTGCATTTGTATCGCTGCGCATCACCAGCGGTTTCTTTTGTGATGATTTCTATGAAAAAAAAAAAACAATAATAATAATAAAGATTGCCATTTTCATTTCAAATGCAACGCACCCGCATTTGACTCTTGAGTTTAAGCAGATCCTGTGTGGCATCAGCGCATGGCACATTATAGTATTCACCTTCCTCTTGTGTGAGCAATTTGAACCAGCCATCCGCGGGGTTCTGGATGAAGAACGCAAGTTGGGAAAATTATGAAAATAATATTTTTTTAATTACTCACCTTAATAATTTCAGATATGCCAAAGGACAACGCGCCCATGAAATCATTGCGCGATGTACGATCCCAATCCCAGACCTCGATGAGTACGCGGCGATCTTTATCTTCAGGTTTGAGATCACTATAAAGAGAAAATGAAAGGTGGATTTAATTTTAACTAAAACCTTCGAACGGGAAGTTCGGCAGAAGAGGAGAAATCCGAGAGAAATAAAAAATACCAAAAAGTTTTCGAAAAGTCTGACCTTAAAAAGTAAATCGCCACTTTTATATTTTTCATTTCCTTGAAAATCATAAAAAGTAGTCTGTAGAACTGAAAATTACATGTAATCTTGAAGTTTTGATAAGATTTTACTTAACCAAAGGTAGGGTTAAAAGCTTATGCGTTTTTTTTTATATATATAAACCCATAATGGGAATTGGGCCCATAAAATTTTAATATGTCTTGAAGTTATTGAAATTTTAATTCCAAACGACCTGCGCAAAATTATTTAAAAGGAATAGTTATAAACTCTAAAAATTGTGCAATAAACGCTTTCACTTGACAAAACAAAACATATTTCACTATAAGCTTTCACGCAAAAAGAACTTTCCACTAAAATGACAAGCTTTCACGCATAAGGAAATAGCTTAAACAGCATCACATTTGCTGAACTGTCGTGCTTTTTAGTAGCGCTCATTGTTTGAGATACATACTAAAAAATTAAAACTTTTTATATTTTTTTCTAATATACTTCAAATAATTTTGCATACGATATATTAAGGTGGTCCTAAAACTATCAATATCTAAATTTTAAATGGGGTTATTACAATAACAATACTGGGATATCCTTTTATTCTGTACGTAGAACAAAAAATTTTAAAATTTTAAACACATTTTTAGGAGTTTGAAAAAATATTAAAAAAATAAATGAATAGCAAAATTCGACAAAATTTTTGAAACTTATTCATATAAACTCATAAAATCGCTGAGTCAAAGTCAAAGTTTTGTCGAATTAAAAAAAAAAATAAATTGTTTAATTTTTTTAAAACCACCCTACTGTACATGTGGACAAATATTATTACTCACTATTTGATGGTTTCATTCCACACAGGATTCAGACATGCCTTAATTGTACGCGTCTTTTTCTTTGACTTTTCATGCTCGTCTGGAATCAGTTTGACTTTGACATATGGATCGCTGAGACCATTTGGATCCATTGGAATGAGATTGCGGCCTTCTTTGACTGTAATTTAGAGAAAACCAAAATTAATTAACTATCTTTTTGTTTGAAATGTGTGCGATTAAATATTCTCTTAAACCATCATAAAACTTTGGTTAATCTACTTACTTTGCACCGTCAGCAAATTCTCCTTCACATTCAATTCCAAATTGATGCGTCCGCGACGTTCAGTATGATCGCAACCACATAAGCTCGGCACATTCTCCTTACAGCGGGCATGAACGTTCATGTCACATGCTGCAGCACGAAATCCAAACCAACAGGTCAACGAAAGTATGTGAAAGCAATAGTTATAAAAAAAAATAATTAAAAAATAATTAAAACTATGTACTTAGTATTGTTGTTGGATGGGAAAAAGTTTCTGTACAACTTTTAGCTGCAATAAAAGAAAAAAACTTATTCGGACGAAAAGCAGAGCGCCAAGTGAAAGTTTAAAAGTAATAAAGAACATAAAAAGGACCACACACTCGCACGCAAGGACATTTTTAATACAATCAACAAAAATACGTACGCACACTTACAAATGCAGACGATATAATGGACTTGCAAAGGTACGAGAAAAGTATATGCAATAATCCTAGGTTGCTCCTTAAACCGACGCAGATATCAGAGTAGAATTTTTTTTATTATATGACTTACCTGTTCATCCTGTACGCAATGACTATTTTTTTATATTTATGTATTTATCAGACTACGTAAAACTCAGATCGATTTATTGACTAAATAATAAAATATATATCATAAAAAAAATATTTTACTTTATTGAAACTCTGAGCTTAAGGCAGAATCTCTGTGAAATAGTTTCATAGAGAAATTAAAGCAAGTCTTGGAAATTATGCCAGTTTCATCAATTAACATTTAAAATTTCTCATGCCACTTAGACAGTATTATTAGGCATTTTAAAAATTATAGCAGCATCTATACCAGTTTCATGAATTCTGATTTTATTTATTTGCAGCAGGCAGTTTTTTATAACAGTTAGAAAATATTATTAATATGTAGAAAAATTATAATGGCTCTTAAGGCACAGTTTTTAATTTGTGTTGTTTGTAGGTTACAACAAATAAGACCATTTTTTAATATCAGATTTACAGTTACAAAGTTTCTTTTTCCATTGCTCCTCTCCATTCCATTTTTCATCCGTTATTCCACTTAAGTGCGCGGCAGAAACGAATGTACAGAAAACAACCGAAAATTGTTTTGAAACGGATACGTATTTGGCTGTTTTTCTGATTTTTTTTTATTGAATTTTTCGTTCAATACGCTATCCTTCTGCACTTCGCCGATGCTTTTTCATGATTCGGAAAAAATTTAAATAAGGAAGCGGCATTCGAACCCGGCAACTTCTGAAAGCTAACCAGCATGCTCCTCTGCACGCTCAGGTACTGTCGACTACGTGTACATACTTTCAAATGTTCAGCTTAAATAAATAAAATACAATTATTGCTTTCAAATAACATCATTATTTTCGAACGTTTTCCGGATACGAAAACTAATGACAATTTAGTCGTTTCGTCTTCTTTTCCGGGTAAGCAAACTGCACGTTTTTTGAATGTATTTGGATACGTAAATAAACTAAAATTGTAGTCGTTGTGCTTAATTTTGCCGTTGCCAATAAAATCTATTAAATTCTGTAAAAAAAATTTATTTTGTAGTAAGAGTTGTTATACTTTGGGGACTACATATGTATATATATGATTGTACTCTGGAATGGTCCGGTAAATAGTTGCGCCCTTTGTACAGTTGTTAAGCCAGTTAGAAGTCGGACTAAATTTTCGGCTCTGTAGTCGAAAAGCTGAAAACTTTAACAATTTCTTCCGAGTTTCTTTCGAGGGGTGGTGCCTCACGCACATAATTCATTAAAGATTAGATAGGCTCAATTCCTATAAAACTAGTAGGAGGGGAAAAATAGTATCTCCACAGCTTGCAGAATCTGACTGCAGTTCTTCCTTTAGGGGCCTACAGCGCAAATAGTGAAGGGGCTACTGATTAAGCCCATCACATTTCCCAGCCTAAGATCATTACCGAGCAATTTGCAGTTAGTAGATTTTACAAGTATTTCACTCAGCGCGGAAATTAGACCCAAATGCTGTAAAGCAAGTCGACGACGATACTATCTTGCTATAATTAATACTCAGCCCAGCTTAAAAATGCATAGTTACCTACTCACATTTATTTAAAATCAATAGCAAATAACCTAATTCAAATGCTCAACACGGGAATTGGATTTAAATTAACGGAAATTATAATTCAAGTCAAGCTAACTGCCTAGTGGCGATGAGAAATGCCGATATGTATTAAAATATATGCACTGCAAAGATTTTGCTGCTTTTGCTATTTACAACTGTTGCTGCAATAACAAACAATTTCAGCTAACAGTTACGGTAGTTGTAAACGTCGCAGCGTTAAAGGTAGTAGATTCTTCGGCCATGCATTGCACCCTTCGCAAGGGCCAAGCCAAGCCAAAGCCAACTTTCACACAGGTTCGTTGCATTGCAATTCAATTGTGCATTCGATTCAATTCATTGCGATTTGATTGGTTGCCGTGCGATGAATTGGAATTTTGTGCGGAAATTGAAAGCTGAATGAATGTGCACGTTAAACACAAACTAGCTAGGTTGGAGTACATAAATATGTAAATACATGTGTATATGTATGTATACAATTGTACTGCAGCAACAGGTCGTATATGTAGTATGTATGCAAGTAATCACCTTGTTCGAAAAGTCTCTCCTATTCATTTGTATTGCATGCATGCACTGTCCTGAAGCTTTTTTTTATTACGACTCATCCAAACAACAATGCGGTATAAATTTACATACAAACTTACATACATATGTATTTATTGGTAGAAACAAATTTATGTATCTACAATAGCTGTTTTTTTTTGCTAAAATTATTAGAGCATGTCTAATGCGCATTCAATGCTGTTCGAGATACATCTCCGACCATAAAAAACGCTCTGTGTAGTTATTATAAGAATTAGAGTATGCATGGCTTGTGGCTGATATCGGGATAAAGAGCTGCAAAAAATCCTGTAACAAAAGAAATAAAGTGGTAGTGGTAGTGGTAGCAGAAATAGTTGTTAAATAGCGTGCAAATAATGGACAGCGTTGAGAAGTTGTACGAAGTCCATCAAAGGAATGGCTTTTCACGCATCTAAGTCGGCGAACGTGAAGCGAAAAATGCATTCTGAGTGCCGCTTAAAGTGTTAAAATAGTGTTATCTATAAAAGGATGCTTGATATTAGATGTTGGGTTAGATATGTGTACCAAATACATATATACAGAAAAAAAACCAATTAATAAACCAAATTCAAAAGAATGAGCATCTCTGCCGGCATAAAATTTTATACCAGTTTATACCAGTCCTCAGACCAGTTTTACACCAGTTTTCAAAGCACATTCCTTTAAGATCGTCGAAAATAAACAGTTGGTGAAAATGTTCATTATTTATACCAGTTAAAAATAACACTTATAGCAGTTCTATCTTTTTGTATTATATTGTTTTTTATGCATTTCCTGAAAAAGTTAGTATTTAGTTACATATTCGATACATTAACTTTTTATACCAGTTTTAAAATTTTGTTTTAAAAAGCTAAAATGAATTTGATTCAATTAAATGTTAACACAGTTTTCATATGAAATTACTCATTTGAAAATTTATACTAGTTTTTATACCAGTTTGAAAAAGCATAAATAAAAAAGGCGAGACTAAAAGTTGTTAAATAACAGCGATTGTACATGTATGAGTAACATCCTTTCCTGCTAATATTTCATATAAAAAATCTTTGCGTATTTTCGATGGACCACTCATTCCTTTTTTATTTAGTAGCTTATTTTTTTTTTTTGTAACAGAACAGGCTTTAACACAAATTAAAAAAATTTAAACAGAATCTGTTTTTTTACAAGCTTTTATTGTGTTGCACCTGCGTATATTCAAATTTCGCAGTCAATCTTTAACCAACTTACCGATGATTTAGAGATTTGAAACTTCACACTTAGCTGAGAGTCCGATTACAATCTATGTAATATGAAACATGAATTAATCCGCTAGGTGATACAGGTGTCGAGATATCTGAAAACCCTGTATTTATGGTCCGATATTTGTTCACAGTTGTAATAAATATTACCTACATGAAAAGCAATAACTCCGAATTAATTTTGTCCGATAGGTGGCGCAGTATCAGAGATATTTGGAAAATCCGTATTTATGATCCGATTTGTTTCATATTTAGAACATATATATATTACTTAAATGGAAAGAGACACCTCCACAAAAAGCTTGTGTTATACGTATTTTTTTTTAATTAGTTGTTTAAATNATGAAAAGCAATAACTCCACAAACATTTTGTCCGATAGGTGGCGCAGTATCAGAGATATTTGGAAAATCCGTATTTATGATCCGATTTGTTTCATATTTAGAACATATACATATTACTTAAATGGAAAGAGATACCTCCACAAAAAGCTTGTGTTATACGTATTTTTTTTTAATTAGTTGTTTAAATTTTTTCCCTGTTCTAGTTTGACTTTTTCCAACAAAAAAAAAAAAAAAAAAATTTGGAATTATTAATTAATTTTTGAGAAACCATCAGGCTTGTCGAAAAGTGACGTATATACGGTTTATGGAGAACTTCGTTAAACGTATTTCGTATTAAATTATTAAATTGGTTCGCAAGATATTCGTGATTAAGTGGAACTGCCTTTTGTTTTAAGTCGAATAACGGAAAATTGAAAAACATCTCGAAACCTTATCAATAGAAAAAAATAAACACGATTTTCAGAATCAGCAGGCAATTATGGTTGGGTACAGGATAGGGACATCCGTGGAACCAAAAATAACTCAAATTTGTGATCCAGTGTTATTTATTTATGCGTGCATGCGCATCATGAAATACTGGTCGAAAAATTTCTTATTGCTTTCGCTATGATTTCAAACCCAAAACCAATCAATTCTCTATTCAATCACCCCAAATTTCACCTATCTACCCTCTGAATTCAGTATTGCACACACAAACTTACTTATGTACTTATCAACATACATAACTGTGTAATAGAACAATGTACATATGTATGTCTATTTTTGCCCCAGCTCACATCACTTCACTTTGCACTTTGTGTTTCACTCATTTTCCTGACTTGATGTTGCCCGCTTTTGCCTATTGGCTATTATTACCATGAATTTCCATATACTATTCGTACGAATTTGTTGGGCAGGCATATGGGTCATATTA